CCCACCTGACTTGAAACACGTGTTGAGCACGTAAGAAGATATAATATATTTGAAACCCAAGTAAAATGGTGACAATAGTTTATAAATAAGTAGAATATGATTTTTTTTATTAATTTAATTATATAATATTGATTTCACAATATAAATAAGAGATTAATTATAAATATTATAAGAAATATAACTTTAAAATAGAAACAAGAAATTATAAATCAAATAATAATAAATTCAAAATTAAGATGAAAGATTATTAAATATAATTAAATTCCTTTATAGTTATCACTCTCAGAAAAGCAAAATTTAATAATTATAAAAAAATGTGATTATAAAAAAATTTTTTTACTATATTTATATATAAATAGGAAAACAAAATAAAGTAATTATAGAAAAATATGATTATAAATAAATATAATTATAGAGGAGTTGACTATATAAAAAAGTTATCAAAATAATTAACTAAAAAATATTTTTAAAATTTTTTTTTGTTAAGCTAAGATATATATTGTATTTATAGATAAATTATCAAAACTAAATTTCTAATAAAATTATAAAAATTTGAATAGAAATTCAATTAAAATTTGAATTAAAATTTGAATCAAAATTTGAATTGAAATTGGAACTGAATTTCAAATACTAATTATAAATATAATTGTTTAATAAAATTATTTTTAAATACTAATATAATAAAATATATAAAATTAAATATAAGAAATATCAAACTATAATAATAGTTATATTAATTATTAATTATTAATTATATATTAATTATATTTAAATTATATATATATTAATATTAATATTAATTATATTTAAATTATATATATATTAATATTAATATTAATTATATTAAACATATTTTTATTATATAATTATATTTTTAATTATATAATTATATTATACTAATTAAATAATAAATAAATATAATTATTATGCAATATTAATATTTATAATGATATATATATATAAATTATTTTATATAATAATAAAGAAAATAGATAAATTCACATTTTGTATCAATATTTCAACTAAGAAACATTTTTAATCTAGCTTTTTTAATAATTTCTTAATTCACTAGAAGATTTCAAGATTTTTTTTAATTAATATAAAGATCAAATTTTTTTTATTGCTTTAGTATTAATTAAAGTTTTGAATTTTTATATTTATACTATAACATAATATAACTTTAATTTTTTTTTATTCTCTTGTCTCATTCTGTTTTGTCATTCAATTAGAATATATAAAATTATAAAACAGTCAATAATTTATATTTGATTAATTAAAATTTAAGACTTATATGACTGAAAGTTATAAGATTATCAAATTTTTTTGATATTATTAAATTACTATTTGTCATATAAAATTCTATTATATATAATAATGATAACATTAAAGATTAATTTTAAGATTAGAATTAGAATCAGAAATATAATAGAAATTATATATAAAATTATTTTTTATATTCTTGTATCAGATTTATTTTTTTAGACTGATCAGCTTGATTAAATCAACTATTCAGATGAAGTAGCTATTTCAAATTTGAAAGAAATAATATCTTAATAAAAACAAATTTATATAAAATATTACTATAATTGATATCTTTTTATTTAATTTATAGTATTTTTATTAGATAAATTCTTTGATTAATTTAACTATTAGAAAAATTACTTGAATTATTTTATATATTCATATTAAGAAAAATAGATTTTAAAAAACAAAACTTGAAAATATTTATAAAAAATTTCTTTGAAATTATCATTAACTTAAAATTTTACTTTAATTATTATATGTAAACTTAAAAAACAAAAAATTGAAAACCAAGTTAAAATAATATATATTAAGTATATTATCAAACAAAACTTAATTACAATAAATTTAATGAACTCAAAATTTATCAAAAAAAGATATAAATTAGTCAAATGTGTCATTTTTTAAAAAAATTAATATATAATTTACATTTACACTAATTGATCAATTGCAAATCTTTTTTGTATTGAATTATATTAAAGATATTTTTGCAAAAACTAATTATTAAGGTTAAAAAATAATATTTCATGAAAAATAATAAAACATAAAATATATTTTTCTGTGTGAAAAAAGAATTTTTTTATTTCAAGCTCTTGTATCAAGTTTATATTATACAGATTTGTATATAGATACTAAAAAAAACTAAAATAATAAAATTATTATAAAAGAGAATATTAATACTCAAAATTAAATATCTCTATCATTTTTCTTGTTATATTATAATTATTGTTTTGTATTTTTTTGTATTATTTTAAAACCATATCAGAATCTTTTTCAATTTTGAATTTGTATTAATAATATTCTGTTAACTTAAATTAATCATATTTATTTTCTAATTTAACAAATTTCAAATACTTTATATTTATTTTTTATTGTTTTAGTTTCATGAAAGTAGCATTTTGCAAAATAATTATAAGCTGAAATTTTGTCAAATTTTGCTGATTTTGAAAATATATAAAGGATTTATTTGAATTTTGTATCTTTAATCATATAAATAATTTATAAATCTAAAGCTACCAAATAATTTTTTATACTTTGCTGATTTCAATAACTGATACTTAAATAAATTAGTTCTTTCTGAATAATAAGATTTAAAACAATGATATCCTTCAATTGAAATTATTTTTGAAAAATTTTGTGATTCTAGTTCCAGCTATAATAACATGAGATTTAATCAATCTCAAAGCTTCATTTATTGACTTCTTGATCAAATTAGATTAATTTTGAATTATAACTATTGGTTCTAATTTATTATCTTTAATATATTGTTTTAAATGATCTTCATTATAACAAATTTTTAAGAAGTTTTTCATCTATTATTCTTAATCAGTAAATTTCTTTATCAAGTTTTTCATGAATATAAAATGAATCTTTCTATTTTTGTGAAAATTTTTCATGATACCAATATTACATCTCCATTCTCTTCATTAAAACTTTATTTCTAATAAAGAAATTTTGTGGATGTTTGTCTTGTTGATAAAATTCTTTTTGCTTTTTGAACATTTTGTTGAGCTAATATTCAATCAATCTCTAATTTATCTACTATTATACAAGCTCTTTTTATAACTTCATTTGTAAATTTTGTTGCACTTTATTATATTGTTTGATATGCAAACAGTACTAAAGATAAATAAAAATCCCATTCATTTTTATGTATTTGAACAAACTTTGCTATTAATTCACACAACTCAAACACTTTTTCTTCATCTTTTTGTATTCCTATTCCATTTCGATAGCAATAATTGAGATTATTTTGTGCTCCTGCATCTCTTGTATTTTCATTTTCTGCTGATTTCATGTATCACTCGAACGCTTTTTCTCCATCTTTTTGTGTTCCTATTCCATTTTCATAGCAATAACCAAGATTACATTATTCTAAAGCATGACCATTTTCCGCTGATTTCGTGTACCACTCAAACGCTTTTTCTTCATCTTTTTGCGTTCCTATTGTATGTAAAGGCGCATTATTTTTTTGGTTTGTGCCCTTGCTGTTAATTATTTAGATAGATGTTGAGAGCGATTGGGACTCTGTTTTTTCACTGACCGATTCATTAGTGTGTTTATATGGAATTTTAAAATTTTCAGAGTCAGGTTTCTTAATATATAAACTTGCCGAGAATAATCTGAATCTAAATCTTGCTTTTTGTGTTTTTTTAGAAGCAAAAGAATAATCTGAATTAGGATCTTGTTTTTTGTGTTTAGAAGTGAAAGAAGAATCCGAATTAGAATCTTCTTGTTCTTTAGAGGCAGAAGAGCGCTGCTTGGAACTGGTTGATTTCTTGTGATGTTTATGCCGGCGGCGAGAATATTCGTCGTCTGAGTCGTCATCTCTTTTTTATTTTCAGTGATTTTTAGAACCGCATGATTAGTGCTATCTATTGCGGAAGTTGTCGATATAGATTCTGTATTGAGTTTTTTAAGGGAAGGCATATCCATTTTTTTCGTATTTTTCTAAATATTAAATGAAGAAACACGTATGACGATCACCGTTTAGTATCCTAGCATGGATCGGATCACGTGTTGATTGTAGCACAAACCAATAAAAATGCGTAAATTTTTTATCAGCCCGGCAAAACAAATCCGACGCAAGAAAATGAAAAAAGCAAAAAATTCGGGAAACAGATGCTTGGTACATTAAAAAAAGAGTCGGGAAGACAATTTTACATATCGTTTTGACTCCAGCTCTAACCCTAATCCTAACCTTTAAATTAACCTTTAACAATAACCTTTATTACCGTAGAATTTTTCCGGACATACACAAATATCACATGATCCCGTTAATACGTACACAGTTATTGGATTTTGGGCGGAATTAGCAGTTTATGAAGAGAATTATGGAATTAATGGTCATGGTTGATTTAGTACCCCTTGATAAAATATCCCCCTGATAAAGTACCCTGGCTCTAATCTCGGTTACAAGTTGAGTAGAATGTTAAGTACCCCCTTCATAATTCCTGAAATTAGCTTCCATTTTAAGTATCCCCTGTATAAGATACCCTCCTCTTCACAAAGTACCCGGTGGGTACTAATCAATTTTTGAGCCCCTAGAATGTAAGAGACCCGGGGGGTACTAATTGCCGAAAAATATGGTATGTTTTCGCAGATTCAAAAAAAAGGTTTCTTTTCTGATTTTTTTATTACAGAAATGTACTGTAGTCAATCAAGTCTAATTGCTCGTAATACTTTCTAAGCGCATTGCAGAAAAAGCTGGAGAAAGAAAAAACTTCACAATTTATTTATACATATAAAGATGATGAAATCATCGTCAGACATTATTATGCGGAGGATGATGAGCAAGGGTGAATTTGAATGTATATATATGAAATATGCAATTCAAACAGGCAATCCAAGACCGGTTCTTTTGAGCCTAATAATGGTTTCGAGAGGCTGTGATATGCCCCCATTTTGTCCCAAGGTAGTGCCTTCTTTCCAGCTGATGAGAATGTGTGTAATTAACAAAAAATCAGTAATTAACTTTTTGCAACAATGATGAAATTAGTCTTTATCTATCAAGAATCTTACCCCATCTTCGAGAGCATACGATGTCCAATGTTATCAGATGTCAATGGTGCTGCCGAAGCTAATAACAAAATAAAAAATTAATTTTCTATAATTTAATAGAAAAACAAGAGTAAAAAAAATATACCTCCGACGACAGTCCCGTGTTTAAGCATAGCCGTCGGCCTTATTTTATTCTTCAACTTTTCCTTTTCCTCTTTACTCAAGTTTGTGCATACGTTTGCAAGTTGCATTCTTCCTCGATTGACTAACTTGTCGATTGATGATTGGTCTGGTGGGATTCTAGTGTCTGGTGTTTTTTGAACAACGGTATATCTATTTAGATTTTAAAGAGATCACACGATTAACTCTCATCACATGATATATGACATAATATATACACTATATCCCTATTATAATTCTTAAAATCATTTGGGTAAAAACCAAACAAATTATATTTATGTATATTATATGTAATTTGCTTGGTTTTTACTGACGGTCCCCCATTTATTCACCTCTTCACACCAGCACCCGTGCTTTCAGATTTCAGGTTATACTGTTTCGAGATAAGATGTATCCAGCGACGAGCGGCAGACGCGTAAGGTTGAAAATGAAAACTATTTATTGCAATGGAATTTTACCATTAACCTCTCAAAGAATAATTAAAAATAGCAATATAAAACGATTTAGAATAGATATTTACGACTTGATGGTGTCGTCCTTAATAAAGTTGAGGATTGTTTTATGGATACCCAGTAACTCTACGTAGGGTTCTTGACGCTGACCTTTTCCTTTCTTACGTCCGCCTTCGGAGTTCTTTTTTCTATTAAGACGTGACTTTAAGCCTGAAAAAATCAATGAAATTGATAATCAATGCCCTACATGATTGGAAAAATGATTCTTTCTCTATTTCATTTTAGCTTCTTACTTCCTGAAACGGGAATCATGTCATACGAATCAGCCATGAATCCACCACTGATTACACCGCGCTGTTTTTGATTTCCACGTTTTTTGTTTCCACGTTTTTTATAAAGCGGTCCTTCTATTTCATCATCATCCAGCAGAATTTTTATATCGTCCACGTAATAATCATCCCACGAATCATAACCGATTTCATGTTTATCAGGGATAAATTCGTCATCGTGACGAAACGATTTTCTACTTTTTTTACCTTTCTTGGAAATATTATCTTTTTCTTCTGTTTTAACTACATTATTTTCATCCTCATCTTCCTGATCGTCTTCTTCATCAATATAAATATCATCACCGTTGCCTTCAACAAATTCAGTACTAGTGTCGGAGTCTTCCTCTTCCTCATCACCATTGATATTGATGGATCGGATCTTTTCTTCTAGTTCATGTGATGAAGATATATTTTTCAGATATTCAAGGTCTGCGGTGGCAGTGTTCTTAAAAGAAAAGGGACAACTAAAATCAAACCGTGTAACCACAATAATTAAAAGAAAAAGAATTTCAACAGCTAAAAAAAGAAACAAACTTCAATATAATCATTTAGCACTTCGTTCTCTTCGCCATCTTCAGAATCAGTCACGTGCTCAATATAAAATCTTTTTTTACGTGATTTTCGTTGTTTAGCACGAGCTCGTCGACTGTTTTTTTTGTTTTCTTTCTTATGTAGGGAGTTATTACAGTTGTTATCAGTATTATCATTATTATTGTTATTATTATTGTTATTATTATTATTATTTCTACTACTACTAATACTACTATTATTATTATGATTATCATTGATTTCATTTGAGGTTCGAGGAACAACAATTTCTTCAGTATTTGGAAGGTTTAATGATAATGACGATTGATTCTCATTTGTTCTCGGATATTTTTGTGGTTTGGGTTTATAGACGATTATTTCACCGGTCTCTTCATTTTCATATATATATGAATCGTCAATTCCTCCGACACCACTGCCACTGATTTCCTCATTCGTATAAGATGTAGTTGAGTCGATCTCGGTCTTTACTGGTGTAAATGAACTGGTCACCTTGGTGACTTTTTGAGTTTCAAGTAAGCTAAGATCTCCTATTTTATCAACTGTCCAATTTCCAATATTGCTATTAGAGATCGTCTCAATTGATTGTAAAGAGCTTTCTACAACTGATGAAGCATCATCCTTATTGTAATTGATTTGATGATGTTTATGATAATTTCGATACGAAGAGAATAATTCAGATTCCATTTTGATTGGTTTCAGATTTTGTTCGGCATTTTGATAAATTGATGCACCGCCTGAGTTATTGTTTAGCACAGCAGCAGCTGATACAGGAGTCGCTCCAGTATTATCAAGTTTGGTACCGATTAATATTTCTAATAATGTGTTAGAATGGCCTTCATCATGATGATGACTACTTTGATTAGTTTGTTGTTGTCCCAATGTGGTAAGAATGTTTGGAGGCGCATACAAATCTTTTTCGTTCCATACGAAGGATTTGTCTATCAGTATTTCACATTCTGATTCACTCGCTAATAAATCAATAATTTAAAAAGCTATTAGTATATATTTTTCGAACTCTGGATTTTTTATAATTTATAAGAATTTTTTAATTAAATTATTACAAACCTTTATCTTCCTGTTCTCGATTACCATCATTATTATCAACGACAACTGAAGAAGAATCAGGCTCCTCAATTCCATTCGGATCATACAGATGAGCCAGTTTCCGGTGCTTATTAAAGATAATCGGTTTCAAGTATTTACTGCCTTTAAACTTATTACTATTATTATTATTATTATTATTGTTATTATTGTTATCATTATTGTAATTATAATTGTAATTATGGTAATTATTGTTATTATTATTATTCCCACGTTCTCTCTTATTATTATGCCCGCCACTACCACCAACACCGCCACCAGCATAGCCTAGTCCAAATGTCAGTTCATCGTCTTCTTCTTGTTCTACTTGTGCAGCAGCAGCACTGCCAAATTTCTTGCGCGATTTTCTGCTTCTTTGTTTCTTACGATAGATAACAACTTCGTGGAGTTGACCAGTTAACGGATCGTATCCTTGTTTGATGAATCGGATGCCGCCGTGTCCTCCCCCTTTCCTATTGCCACTTTTATGTAAACTATTTTTATTGCGGTTGTTGTTGTGCCCGTCCTCCTCTTCAAAGAATTTTGAATTCGGTGTTTAGATAGCATTTTTTTTTCCTTTAAACAAATGAGAATGCAAATACAATCCTCAATGCATTTAAATACCTTTCGACGAGTCTTGGCCAAACGTTTTTTTCGGCATTGATTCACGCTATTAACAAGTATAATGCAGGACGACTTGTTGAAGAAGGACGAAAAGCAATTTTTTCAGATGTTGCATTCTTTATATCATGTTTATTGTTGGATTAAATCAACCAATCAATCATCACAAATACGAATCTGTGGATAAACAATAGTAACGAGGAAAATGGATCATTTTCTATCAATTAGTCGATTTTATATAACTTTCTCCAACTCTTGCTTGCACGCATTTTTAGATCTAATTCACCCTGCACCAAAGCAACACTAGTGACTCGAAGAAAAGATAACTCCATTTTTTGTCTGTTCGTGATGGAAAGAAACGAGGCAGCCTCTTCACTTGCAACGACATCCGAGAACAGAAGACGACTACAACAGCACAATCATAGTCGCAACAACCATTTTAACAATAGACGACGTAGCATTGTAACTATTAACGTTAACAACAGGAATGTTACCAACAACCACCTTAACAATAGTCTTAACGTGGAAGACACCGGCAGCAATAACGCCACAAGGGCGTCGTCTTTGGTGTCTTCCTCGGTAAACTCGTCATCGAGAGAGTCGAGTATTGAAGCGGTTGCAAGGTTTGTCCAATTTCACGAAGTTAATAATTAATTCGTGTAGTTTTACCGAAGTTTAAAATTATAAATACCTCAGCTTTATTCATTGATCTTCATCCTCTCTCTTTGACTTTTGCTGTCTACATAACACATCATTGCTAATCACTTTAACGTTACCATTCAATAAAAACAATAGTTCAGCGGCAATAGAAACTTCTCGCGCATCAATTTCCTCGTCATCATTATCGAATCAAGGAGAAGTTGCTACTTCGCCATCACATCATTCAATGCCATCAATAACAACGAATATCAATAGAAGAAATAGTTCACCAGTGTACACGTTCGCAGATGCTCCTTATGCGCCAAATCCGTACATCGAGCCATCTTATTTGAATGGGATATATTCACCATTTGATAATGCGTCTACTACGGTAACAGTAGGAACATCAACAGCACCTAGTTTTATGCCTTTGCGGTCACCTAATTATGTTACTTCGCCATATTTTGTACAGTCCCCGACACCGCCAATACATGTGCATGGTAACAATAATAATCATAATCATCATGATAATCATAACCATAATAGTAGCAATAATAATAATTCTAATGGACATAATACATCAGCATCATCTTCACATACTCAATCACCAATAATATCTACAACCTTATCACAATTCTATTCCCCGACATCGCCATCCTACTCACCGACATCGCCATCCTACTCCCCCGTAGCTCCTAGCTTCTCACCCACTTCTCCTAACTATACACCCGCTTCTCCTTCATATTCATCAATGTCTCCTCCGTACTCGCGATTCACGCTACTTTCATCACCGCCATACGCGTCAAACGTTAGTCCACCATACAACCCAAATTCGGCTAGTTTCTTTAATAACAATAGTAATAATAGTCACGAATCTACACCGTCATATCAGCCTACCTCTTACTTGAACTCGCCGAACTATCGACCTAATTATAGTGCAGCGTATTCGTCCGGGTATTTTGGTAGTGGTAGTGGTAGTAATGGTAATAGTAATAGTAATATGCATTCTGTAGCAGCAAATTACGAATCTTCGACTACGGCGTCTTCACCCGCTTATCAGAGTTTCTCAGTGACGAGTAGTAATAGTAGTAGTCCTTCATTTAGTGGCATTTCATCGAGTTCTGTGAGGTCGACGTCATCTTCGTTGGCACCATGGCAACCTCATATTTCTCATAGACCACCAAGATCTGCGTCTTCGCATATTCAACGACAGCAAACCCAGAAATTAATTGAACGGTGAGCTATTTATCTTACGTTTTATGAAAATGCAATATTTAGTAATTTAAATAATTTTGAAATCCCGTTAAAAAGATATTTCAAGCAATTACAACAAGGATGTGGTAAGAAACCTGATTGCCCGAATATCTATTGTGCCTCAAATCTTAGTAAGTATTTATTGTTTTATTGACATTTGTTTGGTTTTGGATTGTTTTTTGTTTTATTAATTAATTAATCAATTATTTTATCAATTGATGCTCTTTTAAAAGATGTTCCACGACGTGACCCTAATGAGGCCGCTGCGTTAGCTGTCACTCTTGCACGGAATGGAAATTCACATATTTGTGCAAACTTATTAAATGATGAGAATTCGAGCAAACGTAATAAATTACGTAAAGTGTTTGAATTACGTGATTATTATTATTTTATATTTTATATATTATATATTTTATCATATTTCAAATAGTAATAATAACATTATTTTACTTTAACAAAAAGCATTTGAAAGTCTCGAGCTCTCTAAACTGGAGATGTTGATTGAAAATGGTAAACTTTCACATCTGAAAGACAGCATCATTAATGTGTTCAGCAATAGTAGTCGTTTGGCTAATAGCTTCAAGCAGGTTGGTTGACTTTTTGGGAGTCTTTTCTCGTCTTTTCTCTTCTCTAATAAATTTTCTAATTTTTAATATCAGGTGAATTCTGAATTTAAAGAAAAATGCCCGGTTGATATTGAAGAAATTCGGCTGGCTTATCATTTAATGATACATAAGGTTTTAGAATATGATGGATCTTGTATTTTATATCGGTAATTAATATTTTTATATTTTAAAAAAGTGTTCGGATTCTAAAGTAAAAGAAGCTACACTTTCGGGCACAGCTTCCCTACTAAAAAAATTCAAGAGTGGATATGAGACTGTAAAGAACGAGATTTTGCATATATTTATCACAATATTACAGGTTAGTTTATTCTATTAATTTAATTTCATTAAAGTTTTATATGTTGATTAGTTTAGTTTTATATTAATCAATTATACAGAATCCATTACTAATGGACCCAGCAAGTCACGCAGAAGTAATGCCCCTCCTGGTCGACATTCTCGCAAATCTAACATCCAGCAAAAAGCAGATTCTAAGCAAATACCTTATTGCCGAACGACCACCCACCAAAAAACATAATGACGAATTAATATACAAGAGATCCGGTTGCACAGAATCAGCACAAGACATGTATTATTATGTTAGTTTATTTCAACATTTTATCACGCTGCGGCTGCTTTCAAGCACTGTCACTCCGAATAAAGATGAGGCCGTGATGGATGCGACAAAGTGTCTGGATATTTTATGTAATTTGAATTCTTTTGATTTTAGTTATTTTTGAAAAATAGGTTTTGGGAATTCTTAGTGTTTAATCTTTTTTTTTATCCATATAAAATATAGATAAAATTAATGACGAGAAGAAAATAATACCGTTTTCAGAGTTCTACAATGACGCGGTAAACGAACAGATTGAGATAAAAGAAGACCTTCCACCATATAAGCAGCGAGATGGGTGAGTATTCTTTTTTTTTCTTTCATACGAAAGATCTTTGCAGCATTAAAGAAATTTTTTGATCGACTTTCTTCTTGTTATAAAGATTCTCGTTCTGTGATTATCCGTTCATACTGAAACCGGTGATTAAGGCAAATATTTTGAAAATTGAAAGTATGGTGCAAATGCGCCATGAATTACAGGTACTTAAAATAAATAAAGCATCTTTGCATAGTCTCTGTCAGCTATTAAATTTTATTTTATAATACAGGATACATTCTTTAGGGCAATGTTTATTGGTGTCTCTTCTCCTTACCTAGTATTGGAGATTCGACGAGATTTTATAATTAGAGATGCTTTATCTAATGTAAGTTAGATTATATAATCATTATTTCTTATGCGTCCGCGGAACATTCAATACCATATTATATTTTTGCTATTATTTACCTAACAGCTTGAATCAAAAGCTCCACAAGACCTAAAAAAACAATTGAGAGTACAATTTGTGGGCGAAGAAGGAGTAGACGAAGGCGGCGTACAGAAAGAATTCTTTCAGTTAGTAGTTCGTGAGATGTTTGATCAAAAATACGGTAAATGACCATTATATGCTTTAGTTATTTGATACCCATATTCTTATAAATCATTCGTTGTTCGTCTACTCTTTAGGCATGTTTAGTCAAAACGAAGAATCTCGATTATGTTGGTTCAATCAAAGCACCTTTGTAGAAGAAAGTCTAGACGAATATAAATTAATAGGTCGACTTTTAGGACTGGCAATCTACAATTCTGTTATTCTGGATGTGCATTTCCCGATTGCACTTTATCGTAAATTAAAGAATCAGCCAGTTAATTTGCAGGATTTGAAAGAATTGGATCCGGTATTTATCTTTCGCTTATTATTTTTTGGATGCTTTAGGGTTTTTTAATTTATTAGAAGACACATAAACATATATACATAAGCAAAAAAATGTTCTAGTTATTTATATTAATCTTTAAAAATACACAAGACCCTAGGCAAAGGATTGGAACAGTTATTGACGCTAGATGATGATGTCGAATCCACATACAATCGAACATTTCTGATAGACTACGAGACTTTTGGGCAGCGGTATACACATGAGCTTAAACCCGAAGGCGCAGAAATCAAACTCACGAATGAAAATCGGGAAGGTAATTTAATTATTTCACTTTTAAATTCTCAAGTTACGTTCCTATTTGATTAATTTTGTATTTTTATTTATTTAGAATTTGTTTCACTCTTTGTTGATTTTTGGTTAAATAAATCTGTCGAGAGGCAGTTTAATGCGTTCAAAGAAGGATTTGATCTTGTGTGTGGGGAGAGTGCTGTACAGGTAATAATAACAAAAAAACTTATTGTCTTAATAAGTTTGAATAAATATATTGACTTATTTTGTTTACTAATATAGTTGTGCCGTGCCGAGGAAGTAGAACTCTTAGTGTGTGGTAGCCCTGATTTTGATTTTGAAGCACTGGAACAAATCACACATTATGACGGCGGGTATTCAAAATCTTCGCCAGTGATAAGGTAATCAATAAATCATATACCGGAATACTATAATATCTGCGTATTTATTTTTAATTTCCCGAATATTTTTATTTTTCTAAAAAAAAAATTCAGGTTTTTTTGGGAGGTCGTCCACTCATTCACAGAAGCACAGAAAAAGAAATTATTGTTCTTCACTACAGGGAGCGATAGAGTTCCTATTGGTGGTTTAGGGAAATTGAATTTTGTGATTGCGAAAAATGGCGGCGATTCTGATAGGTAAATCCCATAACAAATAACTATTTTGAGTAATCACGTACTAACCTATTCAATTTATTTATATATAAATATATAGACTACCTACTTCTCACACGTGTTATAATGTGTTATTACTACCTGAATATAAAACCAAAGAGAGACTCAAAGATCGGTTATTGACCGCAATAAACAATTCGGAAGGGTTTGGGTTAATATGATAACAAACTCCATATACCATCTACAATATTTAATTAGCATAGTCAAAAATTATTGTTAATCTAAAAAGTCGCATGCTTCAATAAAAGTGAACATGTGATGTTACGCATTATCAAAAGATTTTTTTGTCAGTCTAATTTCCTGTTCAAGAATCATCATGAATTTCATGTCAAGCGATAGTGAAATTTTTTTATTGAAATTGTAAGCTTTATAATTGTTATCAAAGTTAAAGATTTAAATTTATGTAATTTGAAACAAACTACATGAGTAAATTTATTGATCTTTTAGAATGCTAGCCAAAATTAGATTGAATTTAAAAATTTTTTCTATTTATAGTTTAAAAATAGCTCAATCTAATTATAACGACTTCAAAATTAATCAATCACATATTCAGAATTTTAATTCTATCAGATCCTAATTAGTAGTTGTTACAAATATATTTATTCTTAAAAAAATTATATTAATAATATAATAATATATATATAATTCTTTAGTTTTAATAATAGTTATAACTTATTATAATATATTAAAAATTAAATTGCATACAATATTCAAAGATATTTTTTGTTATTTTTTCTTATTATCTCAATTAAATTTGAAAATTAAATAAGATTTTCTTTTTCTAATTTGATAATTGGATAACTTATACTTAAAGAAAAGGATAAAGGTAATTTTGATATTTCCAGCATTTTTATTATAATAAGAAATTCTCCATTTTATTTTGTAATTAGATTATCTGTTATATAATATATTTTACAATAAAGTAATGATTATCTATTATACAAGAGAAGCAAAACTAAATAATAATTTTAATTACTAAATATATCAAGTTTTTTATGTTATTCATTGATTTGATATGTTATATATTAAGTTAATAGACAAAAAAAAGTATTACCAATATTTAGCAATTATAATAAATATATTCACCAAATAATGAAATGACAATATAAATTTATCTAATAGCATGCCAGGAAAAAAATAATCCAATAACAAAGTATACTAATTAAGAAGAAACTTCTTATTAATAACAGATATAATACTTCTAAAGCTTATTATCTGAAATTCAAATAATTCATACCAATGGTAAAAGAACAAAAAATAATACTAGCAATAATAATATTATTGATATTACCAAATTTAATCAACAATTTCAACAGTAATAACAATAATTATAAAAGTTATAACATGTTTTCGTTGACCTTCTAAAAGAATAAGCAAGTATATATCAAATTATAATATTATAATAAAGATTCCAAAAAAAATGTAAATTAACTGTTATTTAATCAGCAAAATGAAACTTATTTGCTGAAATTAAGCTGGAAAAAATCATATTTATCAAATTTTGAAAAGACAAAATAAAGGTAACAATATTAATATCAATATTACAAAAAGATATTAAAAAAAACAAAATACAAGAAAGCACTTTAGAATTGGTTAGAGTATATTGATATTTTGAAAAATAGGATAGTTTGTCTATTACAAGTAATTGTAATATGTAAAATATGCAACAATGCTATACATAATAATCATAAAATGATCAATACTAGTATTATTCTATATTATTAAAAAATTTTGATTAATTAATAAAGAATAATATTATGATATTATTAAATAAAATTCATTTAATTAAATTAAATTATTAAATAAAATAAAAGTGATTAATTATTAATCAAATAATTATATTATAGAATATTTAAATCTTAACAATATTTTTATCATTATATAATAGAGAGCAAGAAAAATTCTAGAAAATATTATAAATTTTTAACAAATTGTAATAGATTAATTGATAAAGAATTATTATATTGCAATATATGTCACACACTAGTTATTATCATTATTATTATTATTTATACTATAGTGTAATCACGCTCTAAGTTTAAGATTAATTTAACTTACAAAGTAAGAATTACAAATTAAAAGATAAAATAAAGAGTCACCAAAAATTTCATACAAAAAATCATGATGTGACTAATCACTCAAATGATACTTGTAACTAACTAAAGCTTATAAAATTAATAAATAAGTCATTTTTTACTTAAAGAGAATGAATTAGAAAGATTATGTTATCTTCTTGAACATTAGTGAGATTTTCATCAGGACATTAATTATTAGTGTGATTTGAAGCAGAAAATTTGCATTTGCAAAGATCCAGTTTCATATGTATTTTGTAAATATTATTAATTGAAAGAATAATTGTTGTATTAATAGGATAATTTGTGCATTTTTTGGAAGAGCATTTGTATTTTGTGAATATAGAGTTAGATTTTTCAAATTCTATTTGATTTTTGCAACAAGCAAGCCAAATTTGAATAAAGTCTTGTTTAACGAACCAAATTGTTAACTTGACAGAAAGTTTAAATATGTGTAAATTAGGAATATTAAATGATTTGAAAAAATCAGTAAGTTTTTTGATGACAAAGTCTTTAAAAATATATATATATAATCTAACTTATGACTTATACTGGATGAAAATAAGGTGTTGTTGAGAAAAAATAAATATTTATAGAAATTACTAATGCTTAAGTTTAAGAAAAATGTGATTGATTATTATATTGAGAGAAAAAATAGAATTTGAGAATTTTGTAGTAGACTAATATAGTATAAATTTGATAATGTCTTATAAATTAGGACATGTTTATAAGTGATTATTAGTTTTAGATAATAAATAATATTGATTGCAAATATCATATAAATATAAAGAAGATTTAAATTTGTGAAGATTATACAAGATTAAAAGTAAGTTATAAGAGAATAAGTATGAAATTTTGAAGCATTTGAATTTGTTATCATAGAATAAATTTCATAGTTCTGATTTTATACTAAATTAATAACTTTCCGGTTAATAATATATCAAAAACTATAATCAAATAAGTTATTTTTTAGTATATAAAGTTACTATTTGAAGATTATGCACTTTTTATTTTGAAGTTTTAAAAAGTTATGAAGATTGATTATTATTGATAATTTGTTGTTGAATACAGAAACATATTTAGTTCTGGCAAATTGTGAAAGATTGTTGAAATAATATGTAAATGATTTGTTGTTTTTGCAAGAAAATTAGCAAGGTTATTATCTGGATCATTGGAATGACTGAAAACTTTGTGAAAAGAAATTTGAAAATATTTTTGAGTAATATTATAATTGATTATTTTCCATAAATTCCAATTATTATTTTGTAATAGTTGTCTAATGCTATTGTTATTATAATAAAATATGTTGAAGTTAAAGTTATTAATCATGACTTGACTGTCAATATATATATCAATGACTGTATTATTAAATATCATTTCTGTAAGAATGCAAATAATCTGAATTTCAGTTATAATTGTTAAAAAAATTTGAAGATTTGAATAAACAAATTGAATATTTGATAACCAAGTAATTTATATTGAGCTGGCTTTGATTTGTGATGTATATATATTTTGAATTGAATTATCTAAATATATATTTAGATTTTGAATAAATGATAATTTGTTTATTGTGATGAGCAAAAAATCAATATTGATTTGAGATATTTAAAAATATATAAATTAAAAATAGCACAGTAACTGTTACAACATGGTGACAAATAAAGCATCACCTAGTTACAACTAGTTGCAGCTTATAAAATTTTGGAGTTGCAATGTGTTGCAACGGGTGACAAATAAGTGTTATATACTTGCTGCGCCATCTCTAATATGGATACAGATAATAATTTGGATTGTAAAAGTGCTATTTGTTGAAGACCTATTCTGTTTTGTAATTTTCATAATGGAGATAAATTATTTTGAATGATATTGAATTCTAGTTGCTTGAATCAAACTGGTGTGAATTCATATTTATTTGTATAATAACGAGATTTGTATTGATATTATGTGATAAGACAAGTTTTATTATAATTGATTAATTGTTGAAGAGAAATCACATGATCTTTTTAAAGAGTATTTTTATATTTTTTGTAAATGGATTATGGATAAAGAAAGTTTTCTATAAGTCAAAGTATATTATTATTAGTTTAGAAAAAGTTATTATTGTTTAGAAATGTAAATAAAATATATTAATGAAAGAATAGATGCAATAAGATTGTGACCAGAGGAAGTTGATTCTGGTATTGGATGAAAAAGAACTAAATAGTAAAATCAGTATTGTTCTTGAAGATTTTGGAGATATATTAGAGTAATAGTTCTAAATATAGTAGAATCATTAAGCTGATAATATAGCCCAGTAATTTTAAATTGTTTATAAATAATCTAAAGCAAAGAGTTTTAGATAATAAAGCATTAAGTTTAGAAATAAAGATGGAAGTTTGGCTTTGATTTTTATAACTTTTTTAAATTATTATATAAGTTTTTCACATTTTGTTTTTGAAATTATAAATAGTTAGAATTAATGATAGTGATAGATAAAGATGATAATAATATTATTAATAATAATATTATAATGATAATTTTTAATGGTAATGATGGAATCTCCTTCTTCTTCCTCTTCTTTAAAATTGAGTGAATCTTGCAAGAGAGTGTACAAAGTTTGTCAAAAGTAAGTTATCACTTAAAGATTCATTATTTTCTGTATAGGATCTTTGTGAACTCGAGCTGATAATAATTAATATTAGTCAATATATTTATTTAAAGTAAATAATTGATTATAAAAGATTCTTTTTTAGTCATAATATATGACTGATCCTTTTTGAGCTCATCAAATATTATGTAAGAATTTTCTACATAATCAATAAAAGGACAGTTTATATTTTAATTAAATACTTCTTATTATAACTAATTATACTGTTATCAAAACATAACAATATATATATATAAGAAATTACATTATTAATAAAATATTCTAGCAATTATTAATAATCTAAAGTATTTGTAATCAATATTAATAATAGATGAAATACAAAGTAAGATTAATAATCACAATTAATAAGCGAACTACTATAACAACAAAGGAAGATCTAGATATTACAAAAGAAATATTGTTTATCTGTGTATCAATTTATATTAAATTGATCAACATCAAA